CCACGGCCACCGAGGTGAGAGCCAAACACAACAGCTTTGCTGCTGCTGGACGCTACACTGACCACACCGGGCTCAGCTGCTTCAGCCCTGTCCTGAACATCATGAGGCACCCGCTGTGGGGGCGGAACCAGGTGCCAGCTTGGGCAGGGGATCCCTGGCTGGGATCGGGCCATGACTGACCAGTTGGATGTGGCCATGGCTTTCCAGGCTGTGGGGATGTGGGGATGGGGCTCCCAGAGGTGACCCACCTGTGCCCTGGACAGGAGACCTATGGGGAGGACCCGTTCCTGAGTGGGGAGCTGGCCCGCAGCTTTGTGCAGGGGCTGCAGGGCCAGCACCCCCGTTACGTCAAGGCCAGCGCTGGCTGCAAACACTTCAGCGTGCACGGAGGCCCTGAGAACATCCCTGTCTCCAGGCTAAGCTTCGATGCCAAGGTGAGCACAGCATGCAAGGGGTGTTAATAGGGCAGGGGACACTCCAGGTGCTGACCCCGCTCTGCCATGGTGCTTGCAGGTGCTGGAGCAGGACTGGCGCATGACCTTCCTGCCCCAGTTCCAGGCCTGTGTGCGGGCTGGCTCCTACAGCTTCATGTGCAGCTACAACAGGTGTGGAGCGTGGCAGGGGCCACCTGGGCTGGGCTGCCCTTGGCATGGCCAGTGCCCCGCTCTCCTGGCTGCCCCATCCCCTCTCCAACAGGATCAACGGCGTCCCCGCTTGTGCCAACAAGAAGCTGCTGACGGACATCCTGCGTGGCGAGTGGGGCTTTGATGGCTACGTGGTGAGCGACGAGGGGGCTGTGGAGCTCATCATGCTAGGGCACCACTACACACACAGCTTCCTGGAGACAGCAGTTGGTGAGCTCAGGGGCTGGGCATGGGGTCAGTCCCCAGGCATGACACAGCCATGATGGGAGTTCTCCCTTCTCCCTGGCATGGCAGCCTCGGTGAATGCTGGCTGCAACTTGGAGCTCTCCTATGGCATGAGGAACAACGTGTTCATGCGCATCCCTCAGGCTCTGGCCATGGGCAACATCACGCTGCAGGTGAGCTGAGGGGAGCAGGACCAGGGGTGTGGGCAGAGTGACCAGGCTGTCCCTGCCAAGCACAGCTGAGGTGTTGGGGTCGGGGTCTCCACAGATGCTGCGTGACCGAGTCCGGCCCCTCTTCTACACACGGATGCGACTGGGGGAGTTTGACCCCCCAGCCATGAACCCCTACAGCTCCCTGGACCTGAGTGTGGTGCAGAGCCCCGAGCACCGCAACCTCTCGCTGGAAGCTGCTGTCAAGAGCTTTGTGCTGCTGAAGAATGTGCGGGGGACACTGCCCCTGCAGGCCCAGGACCTCTCCAGCCAGCACCTCGCGGTGAGCCCCTCCAAGGGGGTGGGCAGGGGGACATGCTGGGTCCAACCCAGGGCACACGGGTGTCACAGGGCTGCTGGTGCCCACCCTCACCCCTCTGCCCTCTGCAGGTTGTTGGTCCCTTTGCTGACAATCCCCGGGTACTGTTTGGGGACTATGCGCCAGTGCCGGAGCCTCAGTACATCTACACTCCCCGGTGAGACAGCGTGGTCCCACCTCATGTCCCCCTCTCCTGGTCACTGTTCCCCTCTCCTGGGCACTGTCCAGGGCTGCTGCTGGAGCTGCTTGGCCCTTGGCTGGTGGCCAGGCAAGGGGGTTGTTCCCATTGTGCCCCGACCCTGGGGCACAGCTGCCCCTGTGTCCTCTGCTCTTCCCTGGTGCAGGAGGGGGCTGGAGATGCTGGGGGCCAATGTCAGCTTTGCAGTGGGCTGCAGCGAGCCACGGTGCAAGCAGTACTCACGGGCAGAGCTGGTGAGGGTGGTCAGGGCAGCTGACGTGGTGCTGGTCTGCCTGGGCACAGGTAGGTGGGAGTGGGAGGGCACTGGGTGGGCACTGCCCGAGGCAGGGGAGTGCTCTGGGAGAGAGGGGCTGCCTGTGAGCCACCTCTGAGGTGGTCAGTGCCCCTCTGCCCTGTCACAGGGGTGTAAGGGGCTCTCCCTTGGCTGTCCCCACACAGGGGTAGATGTGGAGACAGAGGCAAAAGACCGGAGTGACCTGTCCCTGCCAGGGCACCAGCTGGAGCTGCTGCAGGATGCTGTGCAGGCAGGTAGGGGCTCTGAGGGACCTCAACCCACCCAGGTGTTGTTCCCCATCCATGGCACACCCTGGGGCCATCCCAGCAGTGCCATACCGGCCTCTCAGTGACAGCCAC